TTTTACACACTTCTTTACCATCAAGATTTTTTTTTTTTTCGTTTATGTTCATCATCAAGATTTTGAAATAACTATTTGATAACTAACAATATATTATCAATAAATTGGGTTTCAACTTTTATATAAAAAAAAAAAGTTAATTTAATTGATGTGTCTTTTTTCCTCAAATAATCAACACTTGCACGAAAATAGTTAGATCCATTAATGTGTTCTTGTATTTCTCATCGTAATAATTATTTATTATTGAGTGTTGATCATATTTGAGCAAAACAATTATGAGAGACAATACAATATCTAAAAATAAATATTCATTTATTTATAGCATAGGAAATTGAGCGGAACAAATTACTGCAGACCTTAAATGCAACAAATTATTGCAGACATTAAATACAAAATGAGCGGGAAAACATCTCTTATACCAGCAGGGAATTAGTTCAAATGACCCTCTTTACATAAGAAATTGGGTAAATGACCCTTGACCAAAATGGGTACAATAAAACTTAATCAGATATTACATTAAATATGAAGTTACTAATATGCCCTTTTCAATAATAAGTTTTTTTCACGTTTTCTTCCTCTCTTCTTCTTCAGTTTTTTCTTCTTCATCCGCCCGCCCTCTCTGCTCTCTTCTTCTTCAGTTTTTTCTGCTCGCAGCTCTCTCGACCTAAGGTCTCGGAAATCTCATTTTCGCTCTCGCCCTCTTTCGCGCACGATCACCATGAAACTCTCTCTTGCCAACTTAGGTATGAATTTTTTCATTTTTTTTTTTCGAATGTGATCTTTTATTTAATTTATTCTTTGTTCTTTCCTTTGATTGTGTTATGTGAATTCATGTAATTTTGCTAGTTTTGATGAAATTGAAGATGATAATGGGTGCACTATATGTTTTTGATGAAATGCTTGTAGGATTGATTTAATGAAATGAAGATAATAAAAAGGTGCACTCTATGTGTTTGATGAAATGCTTGATATGCTACTTGTTGTATCAATGGAAGCAACGGAGCTATTTTCGTTATATTTTACACTAAAACGAATATACACTCGCTATTATGAGATAACCATAGTTAATTCTTTTTAGAATATGATGGAATCCATTAAAAATAACTTAAATTATGACTATAACGAGTAAAATATCGTTATAATGTATGAAATAGCGAAGGTATAGGTGTATTTCATCAACCAAGATGGAAATATAACCATAACGAATATAAATTGGTTATGTTGAATATCATGATGAATTTACTCTTTTTATGGCTATTTTGATTGAATGGCGTGTTAACGATTCTATATTCGTTATATATGACATTAGGACGATAGTTTGAACTCGTTAGCTAAAAATGATGAGTAATGAAGTTGAAGATCATTTACTTGAATGACTAAAGTTGAATCGTTATAGTTGTATTCGATCAAAAAATAACCATAACGAAAATAACAATCGTTAAAGTAGAATTGTTTATTAGTTATGTTGAAAATCATAACCAATGTGTGTGTTATTGATGTATGAATGTTGTACTTCTTAATTTCAAAATATAATAATGTGCATGTGATTGTTTAAATTTATGATTGATGTTGTAATTTTTAATTTATGACATATGTTGTCTTTTTTCTATGCTTTTAGAAACTGAAATGGAGTATGCTTTTGACATACCTTCTACATGCTCCGGAGTCGTGACCAATAGGTGCGACCTCAAGGTTGTGAATCACGTATTTGAGGGGCTAGATAATGAACATCAAGATCTTTTTTTTGGAATTTTGCTTCTGCCCATTAGTGCACATTCCGATGATACTGACGAAGGTGAATGCTAAATACGGTGATGAAAAGTTTGGTTTGAAACGGTTGACATCTCCTAGCCAAAGCAATGGGTACGTATAATATGTATTTTGATCATTAAGTTTTAAGTGTATTATAAAATTTGGTAAAGTAATAGAATTTGTACATTTATGGTGCAGGTTTGATTGTGGGATGTTTACAATCAAGTTTATAGAATTTTTGTATGCTGGGAAGAATGTTGAAGACGTAGATCAATCTCGTATAAGTGCTTGGCGTGAAAATCTAGCTGCTGAGATATTTGGTGCTCATTTTGATCCATAGTTTGTTTTAAACATTTAATATGTAACGAGTTGTATGGATCATTTGGATAATACATTGTTGTATTATTTTTTTCATGTGTTATTTAATGTAATGGTTATTGTTCATGTGTTTTTCAATGTAACGGGTGGTCGATTTTTGAAGTTGTATTTTATACGTACTTACAAATGCAGTAGTTATAATAGTTTTTTATCAAAATGGTAAAAAAAATGTCTGTAACGACAAGTTTTAATTTAATAAATAGCGAAGAGGTTTGATGCCGAGCTCCCGAAAATAAGTTGAGGAACCGATTACAAGGCGTTTGAAAAATAAAAACAAAAAAAAAATTCTGTTGCGACCGCAACGTGTGTCGCGACCGCGACACTGGGACAATATTATTTGTCCAGGTTCTGTCATTGTATGTCGCGCCCGCGACGGTTGTCGCGACCGTGACATATAGCTATTTCACTATAACGAATATATAATCGTTTTTGGTATGAAATAACGAATATATATTCGTTATTTTGCAAAAAAAAAAAA